GAATGGTCGGATGTTGATTTCTCTAGGATCGTGATCGTCGTTGATTCCATTAGGGTTTCTTGAAGAACCAGAAGATTCCTCTTTGTCCTTCATCGTCAAATTTCTTCACGTCTCTTGGAGAAGAAGAAGAAGTTGAGTCTTTTGTTAAAGTCTTCAATCTCTCTGATAAGTAATTTTGTTAATTTTGTAGGGAAAATTCCTGAAAATTATCCAATTGCATTTTGCTGAAAAAATATCCAATTTTTTTTTTTGTTATATGATAAATACACCAATTATTTAAGATTGTTCTTTATATACTCGAACTTTTAAAATGGATTGGTTATACTACCTCGATATTAACGGTGTCAATCGAACAAACAGAAGTTACTGTTAACTACAATATTTTATTTTTTCTCAAATCGATTTTGGGATTTAAGAATCCTAAAATCCCAAATTGATTTTGAATTTCTTTGGGGTTTTGCCGACGAATTGGGTCTAATGGCTCAAAATTCTATTGTGTTGGATCAATTGGGGCCAATTTTGTTTAATGCTTAGCATTCTTCGTTAGTTAGTGTTGGAATCTTGGTGATGTTGGATGAAAGCTTAAGGTTTAGATGGATCTTTGAATGAGAAAGTTGTTTTGGTAGGTACCCAAAATCAATTTGAGATTTTAGGGTTCTTAAACCTCGAAATCGATTTGGAAAAGAAAAAGGTACTGTAGCAAACAATAACTTCGGTTTGTTGGATTGACACCGTTAATATCGAGGTAGTAAAACCAACTCATTTTAAAAGTTCGAGTATATAAAGAATAATCTTAAATAATTGGTATATTTATCGGATAGTCAAAAAAATTTAGGTGTTTTAATATTGGGGCAATTACAAAAATACCACTTTTGTATGTACATTTGTAAAAATACTATTTAGGAGTGTTCATTTACAAAAATGCCACTAATTATAAATTTATAAAGCCTATATCTTAAAATTCTAAAACCTAAAAAATGTTTTGGCACCTAAAACCCCATAAACACTCAAAATTAAACCCTAGTAGAACATAATTAACCCAAACATAAATAATATAAAGAAAAAATAATTTTGAAAAAGTGGCATTTTTGTAAAGATTTCAAAATTGTGGTATTTTTAAAAATTTCTCTTTAATATTTGTTCCATTTTAAGTTATGTTTTACATTTGAGGATTTTAAGTAGGATTTTAGGATTAGAGAATATATTATGATATAGATTAGGCTCATATTCTGTAGTAACATACTAATCAAAATAGAACATTTCGGTGAAGTATATAAGTTTTAAACGTACAATAAAGAAATAATTAATTAGTTTTAGATTTATTATTTGAAAAATTAGTACTATATTAAGTACTCATGTTTTAGCCAATTTTTTGTTTCATTTTAAGTAACGTTTTAAAATTTTTAACCATTTTTTTTAATGTCTGTGACTATTTAAATTAATTTGTGTACAAAAATCTTAAAAATAAAATTGGTACGATTATTTGGTTAGACTAATAAAAGTTACTTATTCTTGTAATTTGCTTTTGTTCTCAGGCAACGTGGCATAATCACAGTAGCATCCACAAAATAACTCTCTTATTTCTCCTGAGAGTAATCAAATGAGAGAGCAAAAGCAAGACTAATTAAACTTAGGGTTTGTGGTCTTTATATGCAAGTAGACCAAAGAGAGAGAGACTTAATCATCGAGGGATATTGTTTAGGGATCATTCACTCATTTCTCTTTTCACCAATTTTATTTTCTTGTTCATTTACATCTCTTTTTGGAGGCTTTTGAAACGAATCTTGATAGATTTATTATTGGGGAGAGGTTTCTTTATTTTTCCCAGATTTTTCAAATTTTTTCATTTACCACTTTGACTTTTTTCTATTTTCAACTGATTTTGTCTTTGGAGATCTCCCCTATAGCTCCGGTTATCAAGAAACCATTTCTGAGTTTGGATTTGGATCCAAGTGACAAGTGAGTTCGTTTTCTTTAATTTCTAAGAGAAAACTATTTTTTTTCCTTTCCCAAAAACTCGTTCAGATCTAGGGTTTCATTAAGGATTCACTAATCTTGGCAGGAAGATGGTCAGAGGAAAGATCGAGATCAAAAGAATAGAGAACGTGGCGAGCAGACAAGTCACGTTCTCAAAGCGTAGGAAAGGTCTCTTGAAGAAAGCTCACGAGCTTTCAGTTCTATGTGATGCTCAAGTTGCAGCTATTGTCTTTTCTCAGAAAGGAAAATTATACGAGTTCGCTAGCTCCGAGTAAGCAATCTCTCATTTATGAAACTTTTTAATATCCGAATCATCTTTTGTTCTTCCTTAATTTGCTGTTTCTATTGTTGAAACTTGAAATTAATTTTCCCCGAAATATGCCTTTTTATCTACTTTGTTTTTTGGTCATGTATATAGTTTTTTCTCGTAATAGTACCACAAGATTT